TTCCTTTTTGCTTTGTGATATCTTTTTGCTATCAGGATATTCGGGTAGGGAGTGGTTTTATGTTGCATAGAAGCTCGGGTAAGCTGGGTGAAAGTAGAGCAGGACGTTATCCCCTGTGGAAAAGCCCATCACCCTAGTTCGTGGGACTCGTAATTCGTCATAATCATTGCAGTAAGAGAAAAACAAACCCACAACACCATGTTTCTTCTGTTTCTGCAAGTTGAGTTTCTGCGCTGTGTCAGAAAGCTGCCTTGCAACACATAGTTTGCTGAATGGAAGCCTTTCAGAGGGCTAGGGCATTGTTGGTTACAGTAATTCAGAAGTCAAGGTCTACAGAACGAGATAGCTAGATGAGTCTCTCAAGTCATCTCAGTCATTGCGGTACTAAGGACTCGCTGACCAGGGGTATTTGAAAGAAGCTTGATGCCCCGTAGTATCCTCACTCATGTAGGAGGGTAGTTGGAGACCAAAGTAGCAAAAGAACGGCATTGATATGACAACCCAGAGCGTAATAAGATTGGCGGGGAATTAACTCATATGTAAAGCGTCAGTACCTCGAGAAATAGTGTATCTATATCTCTTCTCTAAGTGCTGGTAGCAGTGATGGGTCTTGGAGGCGTTTGGCGTATTGTCAGTACAGCGCTATAGGTATGGATCATTTAGTATCGACTGTGTTCTGTATATTATTAAGGAATAAATTCCAGAATCTAGTGTTTCAAAACCTACAGTCAGGTATTTGATATTTGAACCAGTGAATCTGGTCCGAGGATATCCAACCATAGACATACTTTTGTAAAACAGTGGGATTGGCCCTAGCTTAATCCGTATGCCTGACCTCGATGGTGGGTATCAATGCCTTTCACAGCTAGGTAAATCCTACTTTCTAGAGCTTCTGTAAACTTCACTGGTTTATATCGTTTGGGGAGGCTGTTTCACTCCCTAGTTGTGAGAAGAATTTGCTCTAGTTGACCTATATCTGGAGAGGGTGTATGCAATTTCGAGTGTAGGGTTGGTTGTCTCCAGATTGTTTTAATCCCTAAAACCAGTATACTCTACGGTAGGGAAATAAAAACAGAAAGTGGGGGGCAAATATGAAGAACCGAATGGAGAGTTCTGAAACTGAAGGAGCATAGCAGAATAAACCAAAGGACGAAGCGAGTGAGGCAATAAAGAGAAATGGAACCTAGCTTCCCGACTGATTGATATACAGTGTTCTATATCCTCTCACGACCTATTATTCCTTAATTGGCGCATGTCGCCATCCAAGAAAATGGACAAAATTTGCTATTGTTTAAACTACCATCATGTTCGCATCACAGTTGAGACGATTGAAACAGTAGACCCAACCTCATTGCTCATCTCACTGCCCCTATGCTACAATGATAGAGGCTTGGTTCCCATCCTGCATAAACATGAGATGCAGTATATACTTGTTGGTCCCCTTCATACTGTAATGAGCCTTGCTCAGAGGTTGTCCCAAGGTCCTTTAGACTCAATCATGCACTTTAACTCCATTAAAAGCAGTAGAAAGAATCCTTAAGGCTTGGCTGATGAGCATATCAGTCACCCAAAGCTGCTTCCTGTTCCTAGCCTCAATTGAACCACCATCCCATGCAATTACCGTTGCTAAAGTTTAGTCAAGCAAGCGTCTTACTATTCTCCCACTCGTAGCATTATGAGGTTATGTTCCACCTATAATAAATATGTCTGGTTTCTTTCTCAACGACCAATCCTCCTTCCTCCTACGGCACGTAAAGCTGGGTACATATCCAGTATGCACAACAGAATAGAACAGCAACCGATCCGGCAGGATAAACCCGAGCAAAAGAATTGCTCGGGGCAAAAAAGACAAACGTCCCAGGTGAGGATCGAACTCACAACCTCCTGATTAACAGTCAGACGCGCTAACCAATTGCGCCACCGAGACATTTCATATACTATTGCGTCATTTTATTTGAATCTATCAGCCTATGGCAACTTGAACTAACTACTGCCCAAAATTGTCTTTACTGTTGCTATGGAGCTTCACTCCATGCCCTCAGAGAAGGAGGAGGAAAAGAAGGAAACAAAAGAAAAGCGGGATAATGTGTTAAATGTGTTGTAGATTAAGTAGATATTCGACCCAGGAACTATACAGTATGATTGACTCCCAGTCTTTAAAACAACCCTATCTATTATACATACTTTATATCCCGGTCTTCATATGACTTGACGAGTCGTTTCTTCATGGTATGGTGTGCTAGCCAACATCACCTATCATGGAGAGAAGTGATCGTCAGGCTAATTCTGGTGTATATGTAAGGATACGTGCTCAGTATATGGTTTTATGGTATTTTTAGGAAGTTTGAAGTAATAACGAGAAAAAAGCGTGAGTATACTACTGTAAGTAGGTAAGATTTTACCGTTAGTTGGTGCGGTGGACTACATCGAGGTAAAAAGCGGACAACCGATAAATCCATGTCACTAGGCCGATCCCGAGATTTTACCGTTTTTTCAATCTAAAGCGGTAAAATCGAGTGCCAGCCCTGAGGTTGTCGGTCTGCAGCTTTCTCGGCAACCGCATAGACCGTAGCCATCGCATTTCCACTAATCTGAGTAGGGATAACACTTGAGCAGGGGGGTTGATCCCTTTCGGGACCTTTGCTGGGTGTGTTGGGTCTTCGACAGCATTGGAATATGTAGGGACTAGTCCTTTGTCCACTTTGGTGTTGCATGTGGGATTCTGTTTGGCTTCTATGGCGAGGGCATGGGGCCTGCATGCCCTTGAAAGATGGCTTGGTAACTTTTACTCGGCTCGTCAACCTAGAGTTGAGGCTTAGGAATTATATGATGCAGGTTCTGTGGGTATCATGGTCTGGGTACTTGTGAGTAGATTCTGTGCAGAGAACTATATTGTACGGAGGTATGGAGAAATCATGTTCTATCGGTCTGTTTTCTACACGAGATGTAAATTATATAATATGGCAGACTAACTGGAGTACTATCCTGAACTTGAATTTGCTCCTATTGAACCTATCTTGGGATTCTTTCATGTCTGATTATCATTATATGAACCCTAATATAACTGTACTTTAGGCTCGAACAACCGCCATCTGCATCAAGCTCGCCGTATATTCGACCTCTGAACCATAACTCAAGTCAGCAAGCAGGCCAAAATGAAGGCGTACGTACCACAGGCTGACCCACGGTGGCCGGTATACCAGCTGAGGTAGGTATATGTACCGCAGCGAATCAGTGCGATCTCTAATCAAACAAGGAGCCTCACGAAACCATATTGATTTCATCCATCGATATGCTATGTAGCAGCGTCAAGTAGAGGTTGAGGATTGGTGTATTTTATGTTTGATATACAGGTAAAATTCTGTTCAACTGCGGAATGGACAAATATATCCATCATGCAAGGATTGCTGAAATTACTAAACACAAACAAAATACCCAGAGCATACACACCTGGCCATTATAGAGTCATGTGAATCTTCTCAAACTCGGGCAGAGCCCATTTGACCATCCATTTAGACCCAAGAACCTGCTGAGCAGAGGGGCGATCCTCTGGCCTGAAGGAAAGCATGGAGCGCAACATTGACAACAGAGCATCACGTTCGCTTGGTTCAAGTGGAAGCATCCCCTCCTCTATCCGCGGTCGCTGTACGCTTGTTTCAAAGCGATCCTCCCATGACTGATTCACGGATTTGAGTCGGTCAATTGGCTCTCCACGCTTGGTGAACTCGACTCGACCTGCCTCCCACTTTCTCCACCATTCAGCTGGCAACGGGCCCAGTGATCCGATCTGTTGGCGAGTCATGTCATCTTCGTTCGTTAGGAAGCCTTCGAATAGTGATCTTTGGGCAATAATATCCCAGATGGTACAGGCAAGTGTCCAAATATCGGATGGAAAGGTAAGAGGCTCATTTGGCTCAAATCGGGCCTCCGGGGGGCTGACCAGAAGAGGTGTACGGGACTCGAATCTCTTTTCTTTCACTGGAGAAAATGCTTCACCAAAGTCTGAAACACGAATCTTGGCTTCTGGGAGTGTTACATTTTCACTCGCTTCCCCGAGCCAGACAGGTAAAACACCATAATCTGGGACCCCCGGTGGGAGTTTTTGGCCATCTAATCGATTGACTGGCTCGAGTACCGGCTCTCCATACTGCTCATATAACATTTCAGCAGATAGCTGATCGAATTGGCGGGATAGCTGGAGCAGAATATTTCCACGATGAAGGTCTCCATGGACATATCCCGCTGAATGGATATACTGGATCGCCATCACAAGCTGCGCTGCTATTGCCCGGGCTACCTCAACCTGGAAAAGGCTGACCCATGATGCATTCTTTGCATCGGAGATGCTCATTCTTGCTGGGCTAGTTACCAAACAGACATGGTTGCCGTTAGGGCCTTCAATGTTGAACCTATCCCAGATTGAAGGAATCATAGACTTGTCTATGTCTGATAACTGGTGGGTTTCCGATAGTTTGCGCAGCACGTTGTTCTCGGAGGGGTTCGAATCTGCTGTACAGACTTTGACTGCAACATATTTGTTGGATATCTCGTCTCGAGCCAGCCAAATCGTCGAGTATGTACCATGGCCGAGTTTATGGACTATCCGATAGCGATTGCGGAAACGGTCCCCAATTGTTACTGGATGATAGCCCCCTGCCTGGTAATATTCCATTATTTCCACATCTTCAATAGGTTCGTAGAGGACACGAGTTGTTTCCATGGTTGACCCCATTGATTTGGATTTAGTAACAGACAATGCACGGGAGGTTTGATGAGAAATGTATAACTGGCTTGCCTTACAAATTAGACCACAGTGAGAGAAAGACGTGGGCGAGAACAAGGGCCTAAGGAGCAACAGGCATGATTTTCTCATGATTTTATGATTGCAAAGAGTCGACAGGAAATGACCTGTCAACCTTACTTGTTCACTTAACACGTACGGAAAAGGTCCTTATTTTGAACTTCGAAAGGAAGGGCGCTTAATCTTTGATGTTGGTCTGAGGTGAACTTGCTCCTGACTAATCCGCCTTGCCCAGCACAAGCCCTAACTATTCCGGATCTTTGAGATCGACGTCAGGACTTGGAGTGCTCGGGTCACAACCTGGTCGGAGACATGGCTGGATGAGAAGACTATATCCGCAAATTCAATCCAGCAGAGAGCAGTTCCAAGACACACAGTCTCGTTCCATTTTAATCCTCGGCGATCAGGTACTCTAGACTGTTTACAATTATCCTAGTTCACCAGTACCTGAGGTCATCGTTACCGAATAGTTCCAGAAGGGCATTCAACTCTAATAGCAAACCATCTGATCTCTGCATCTTGGCGAACCACCCACACAATATACTTTGGTGTAATGGCTGTATTGTCACCACCACCAACTATATACCCCTGTGGTCCAGTGGGAGAGCCAAGGCCCGAGAAACTACTACTTTTAATAATGTTGTACGGGAGACCCTGTATTTATATGCCAATAATCCGTCCAGCATACCTCAAACTCCCTTGTCCCGAAGCGAATCTCCGTGGCGATGACAGGCAAAACAGATCTCAGTCCTGCGATTTGCACCACTCTGGAGAATTTTAAATTGTTCCGGACATAGGTATCTAAGAAACACGACAAGAATGTTCAGCCGATTACGACAGCTCGGGCATCTTTCGTAGGTTATTAGAGAACCTTGGGAAGGTAGGGAATCGTACTCACTCGCGGCTTCAGCATGGCAAGGACCAACTCAGATGGAACGAAAAATCGTGCAAAAATGAGCTCGACGATTCCGACATGACTGAAGGCGATACTGACCGTTTTGAACATTACATTTTTGTCGTCCGCGAGCGCCAGGATATGCCCTTTCCAAGCCATGGTGCTATATCTCTACCAAGTGCCTGGGCACCGGGAAACCGAGGTATATTGTATTTGACTCTGGTGAAGAGTGTACACGCGACAGCGCCGTATATCACAAGCTTGAAGGTTGTTACCTTCATTATGACAGCAAAAGGGTTTGGAGAGGCTGGTATAAGCTTGAGACAAGAAATCAGCAAAGCGTCTATATAGTCCTCAAACTTAACGCAAGCTAATACATACGACCATAGGGTGTGGAGAACAGGGC